TTATTCTTTTTGTGAAATCTTTTGATGCACCTAAGTGTCTAATTTTTAGGAGGTCCCTGTCATCTATTTTGTCTTCTATTGTTTGTGTGTTTTCAATGATGTTTGATAGTGTATTTAATCCATGATTCAGAGCACCAAAGTTTGTTCCTATTTTTTCATAGATGATCTATATAGCTCTAAGTTTTGTATTTAAGTCTTTAATTGAAGTTGTGTTTGTATATGGTGTGAAACATGGGACTTGTTTCATTCCTTTGCAAATTGATTTCCAGTTTTGCCAGCACCATTTGTTGAAGAGACTTTTTCTTCATCATTTCATGTGTTTTGGTCCTTTGTCAAAGATCAACTAAGCATACATGGATAGATTTACTTCGGTGTTCTCAATTCGGTTCCAGTGATCTATGTGTCTTTTATGGTACTAGTACCAGATTGCTTTGATTACTGTGGCTGTGTAGTAGGTTTTGAGATAAGAAAGTGAATGGCCTCCTATTTCGTCCTTTTTTTTTTTTTTTTAACTTTTCTGTTAATGCTGGTGTGAGATGATATCTCATTGCTGTTTTGATATGCGTCTCTCTTAATGATCTTTGTGACTGCCCAGGACCAGGCAGTGTTTTGTTCTGCTGTGCATAGGGTTGCTATGAATTGGTACCGACTCGATGGCACCTAACAACAACAACGATTGTGCACATTTCTTCATATGTTTGTTAGCTACCTGAATGTCTTCGTAGGTACAGTGTTTGTTCCTGTCCTGTGCCCATTTTTCAGTTGGGTTGTTGGTCTTTTTCTTGTAAAAGTGTTGTAGTTTTCAATACATTTTAGAGATCAGTCCCTTGTCTGAGAATGGTGTTGCAAAAAATATTTTCTCAGTCTGTGGGCTGCCTATTTACTCTTTTGGTGAAATCTTTTGATGCACATATTTTTAGTAAGTCCCAGTCATCTATTTTGTCTTCTATTGTTTGTGTGTTTTTTACAATGTTTGATATTGTATGTCTGCCATGTATTAGAGCCCCTAAGTTT